TCGCCTGGCCCCAAGCTCACCAGCATCCTCTCTCCTCCTCCTAGCCACCCTACTACTAGTTGTGACACATCGCTTCCTTTACCAGCCTCTCAAGTGGGCCCCCAAGTCTGGTATGTCCAAAACCCCTTTGTCTCTAGACACCACTCCCCTGTGGTCATTCAGCTACAGGATTCCACCTCGTATATCACCCAAGCTCAATACCCACATCCTCTCAAGAGTCTCAGGGGACTTAAGCCTATTATTGCTGACCTTCTAAGAAAAACAAACAAACAAACAAACAAACTTCTTCACCTCCCTTTAACACCCCTATACTTGCAGTTACAAAGCCCAATGGAACCTATTGTCTGGTTCAAGACCTCTGGCTTCTCAATTCTGCAGTTGTCCCCCTCTACCCTGTTGTAGCTAACCCCTATACTCTCGTCTCTACTATTCTATCAGGTACCTCCCATTTTTCAGTTCTGGATCTCAAGGGTGCATTTTTCTCTATCCCCTGGACACCCAGTCACAAAATATCTTTACCTTCACCTGGACTGACCCTGACACTTTGTTTCTACTCAGATTACCTGGACTGTCCTACCCCAGGGATTCCGGGAAAGCCCACACCTGTTTGGCCAAGCCCTATCCTCTAATCTACTCTCCTTATCTCTCCCTAAATCTAAATTTATATAATACAATCTATCTTACCTTTTAATGTATAAAGGCTTACAAACTCTACCTCCCTCCAGAGTTCTTTCCCTCCAGGGGGCACTAACAAAAGACTCTACTATTACTTTCCAACCAAGCCCACCTCTTAATATTTCAAACCTTCTTCCTCAACCTAACTCTGACCACTCTCCATCTCATTCTTGCATTGAAAATTTAGAGGAACTATTGCCCCACCCCTCACACATACAGGAGGGCACATTCCCTCAGACCATCTATACCTGGTATACAGATGGCAGCTCCTTTGTATACGAGGGAGCTCAAAAAGCAGGCTATTCCATAGTGTCAGGTACTGAGGTGGTTGAGGCACAAACCCTCCTTGCCCACACCACTAATCAACAAGCCGAACTAATAGCTCTTACCTGCACCTTCCAATTGGCCCAGAGACAATCCCTTAACATCTACACAGATTCTAAATATGCCTTTCATATTCTTCTCTCCAATGCTGCCATCTAGAGAGAGCATGGGTTACTTACAGCAAAGGGAGGATCTGTAACCAATGCAGGCCAAATTATGGCCATGCTAGAAGCTTCACACCTTCCCACAGCCACTGGAATAGTCCACTGCCAGTCCCATTGGACAGATTTCATCATTTCCAAAGGAAATAACTGGGCTGACGAGGCAGCTAAGGCTGCAGCCCTTAAAGGCCTAGACTCGTCTCATCCACCACAGGACATCCTTACACTACCACTGACATCTCCCCTGTCATCTCCTGACACACATCAGAATCTGTCCTATCTAAACCAGCTCTTTCATCCTAACACTTGAGCTTTGTCTAACTTTGTCAAGACCCACCTGCAGCCCACCCTTGAGGACTTCCATTTCCTAAAGACTATTACTACCTCTTGAAAAATTTGCTGGACTTCAGATCCTAATTCAGGATATCATAGCTCCCCTTTCCCTACTGACCAGGCTATCAGGGACTGACTAGCAACTTGATTTTACCCGCACACCAACAGTCAAAAATGTATGGAACCTCCTGGTCTTGGTGGACACATTCTCGGGATGGGTGGAGGCATTTCCCCACTACTAACAAAAGAGCTCAGACAGTTTCTGATCTCCTTCTCCATGAGATTATCCCACATTTTGGAATCCCCACCTCCATCCAGTCAGACAATGGTCCTGGGTTCAATTCTCAGGTTTTCCAGACCTTATCTAAAGCCCTTGATATTCCTTGGTATTTTCATATCCCATACCATCCCAAGGCCTCAAGAAAGACAGAACGAACTAACCAGTTCTTAAAAAATACTCTTGTTAAACTATCACAAGAGCTTCACCTCAGTTGTGTAAAACTCCCCCCTCTGCCCCTTTTCAGGCTTTGAGCTCTTCCCCCCCCCCCAAAAAAAAAAAAAAAAACAAAAAACCCTCTGTCCATCTTGCCCTTTGAGCTCATGTATGGAAGACCGGTCCTAACTCCTGGCCTTTCAGCCAAATCCTTGCCTCTCCCTGACCACCTACTTACTTCCTTACTCTGTCATCTTCGTTTTCTTCTATGAAACTTTATTGACCACTATTTACCACAGCCACACACTAACTCCAGTCCATTTTCTATTAACATTGGGGACCAGGTCCTTCTTTCTCCTCCAGACCAAAGCCCCTCATCTTTCTTCTAAATGGCAGGGCCCTTTCAAGTTGATTCTTGTGACCTCCACAGTTGAGGGCTTCCTTCACTGGATTCATCTATATGACATCAAGCCTTTTACCACCCCCTTTTCAAGATAATGTCCCCTCCTACATATCAACTCCAACAGGACCCTACTCTCTCAAGCTCCAGAAGATGCCAAGATCAACCACCTTGCCTCTAGTTCCAGAGAAATGAGGCCTTGCTACAGAGCTATGTTAGATCCTACTGGATTTGGTATGTATTTTTCTTCCTCTCCGTTTTGCCTGTTTCTGTCCAAGGTAATACCTACATATGGAGATTTGAGGTTCAAGAAACCATCATTGACAATAAACAATCCTTCCAAATAGGGTCGGGAAATTGCTCTATGGGAGGCTATCAGGAGCAGATTGAAATAGCTATCACCCCCACATCTATCCCTCCTCTCATATTTGATAGAATTTTTGTTTGCTTCCTATTTGATCAAACAAAAGATTATTGAAAAAACAAACAAACAAGCAAACAAACAAACAAACAAACAAAAACGGCCAGACAGATATGGAGGCTTCCCATACTGGTCTTGCCAAATCCACACACCAGCACAGAAGAAGCTCCTTCACCTGTATAAAAGGACTCTACTTATACATCTGAGACCCTTGGGATCACATATGGGAAACAGGTGTCATTGGAAAACTCTATTGCCACTCCACACCCAATTTATTGATAAATACCATACATATCCAGAGAAAATATGTCGCAATTACCCAATCCCTGAGGATGGGAGAGGTAGAGAAGGTAATTAAACACTCCTCTAAGGTCATTGCTTCTCTGACATCCCCCCTCCTAAATAATACAAACCTGTCATATTGTCTTCTACTTTAGACTCTGACCGTGGCCTACAAGCTCCTTAATGTAATCCAACCAGGCTGTTTTAAAGCTTGCTGGCTGTGTGTCCCACCTGGGACCAACTCAGAACTATCGCTGACAGCTTCTCTGGTGACTCTGTCAAGTAATCTTATTTCACCATTCACTAACTGCCCTGACTCTGATGTTGCCATAACCTCCTACCTGTTTCATATCACTCTCTTTGGCATGGCAAGCTGTTTCAAGGCATCCGGGACAACTCTGTAGGAATGCTAAGTTCCTTAGGCTATAATAAAACTATAATCCTTGATACCTCATCTCAACCCCAATGTCCTACTGCTAATAATACCTTGATTCTTTGTGGCACTCAGGTCTACTATCATCTACCTGCTGGTTGGTAAGGAGTTTGCATGCTGGTGTTCCTCTTCCCCAAGCTTGGGGGTGATAAATGAAAAGGAGCCCCTACCAATCCCGGTCATGGACTCACTAGCTGCCCAGCAGGATAAGAGGGCAATTCAAATCTTGCCCCTCTTGGCTGTTGCAGGAATCACAGCAGCTGTCCGGACTGGGACAGTAGGACTAGCCACTTCACTAACTTTGTATTATCAGCTTTCTTCCTAGTTCACCCAGGACCTCCTGTAAGTGGCTCAGACAATACTAACTCTCCAAGGACAGATCAACTCACTGGCAGCAGTAGTACTTCAAAACTGACAAGGATTGGATCTCATCACAGCTAAAGAAGGTGGCCTTTGCATCTTTCTCTAGGAGGAATGCTGTTTTTATGTCAACCAGTTGGTAAAAGACGAAATAGTAAAAGATGAAATCCAACAACTCCAGACAAATCTACAAAAGCTGAAGGAACAGGTTGAGGCCTCTAGCTCTTGGGCCTTCAAGGACCCCATAGGGAAATGGATTCTGCCTTTCCTCACACCTCTTCTGCTCATCTTTCTGCTTTTGCTTTTTACACCCTGCTTTATTAACTTCTTCTCTACATTCCACCAACAACAAATGCAAGAATTCTCTAACAAAACCATTAATCAGTTACTCTTACAGGATTATCAACCTCTGCTCACAGATGACAATGACCTTCCAATCAACCCTGATGGTGGGGACCAGCTATACCCTGAGAATGACAACGTCCCTAATCAGCAGGAAGTATCTTGAAAAGCAAAGGTCACCCCTATGCCCTCCCCACCATCACCCCCTTCTTAGCTCCTCACTTTTTAATAAAACAAAAAGGGAAGAATGTCGGGATCAGTAACCAGGCATCTCTACGGCCAGCCCCAGGGGACCTGACAAATGGAATATCAGGCATCTATGAGGCCACCTACGGACCACCTGGAACCACCTGCGCATGCTCTGGGTTAAGAGAACTCTGCGCCACCTGCTCCCTCCCTCCTTCCCTACTCCGTCCCTCCCTCCTTCTTCCCTCTCCCCCCCCTCCCCCCCATCCTTTCCTCTCCTCCTACCCCGCCCAGAGATGGTCTCTGTGACCCCCTCCCCTTAATAAAACCTCCCACATGGATCAGTCGCATGGTGAAACTTGTGAGCCAGCTGTGTAACTTTGTTGCACAATCCTGTTAGGCTCCACCCTTGCGAATTTTTTGAAAAAAGGGGAGTAAAACAAGGTTATATGCAAAACAAGTTCCCATAATGCCTTGCTGTCTTTGGAACAGAAGGTTCTTACAAATAGAAAACATCTTGAAGCTGACTTGCTAGATTTTGATCCTGTCTCTGAGTCCCCAAAGCGATCTCCTAGAAGGACTTCCCCAGAAATCCCCGGAACGTGGAGTAAACAAGGCCCCGCCCAACTATGGGACGCTGAGGTCAGGAAACCAGCGCCATTTCCCGCACTCTGGGTGGGGCTGCCTTCTTCCCCGCTTTGCTGTAGAACTGTGCTTGAGACAGTGTGAAGAGAATGAAGGTTTCTTCTCGGAACTTAGAGCCTCTGGGCCACGTGGGGTACCTTGTATTCTCCTGTCGCGGAGGAGTCCAGCTGGCGGTCCTACTGCTGTTCTTGCCGCCGTCTACTTGGGGTGAGCCACGGGGAGGCTCTGGGCGGTCCGGATGCGCGGCTCATCGAGATCCGCAGTAAATGGGCTCAGCGCAGACTCCCACGCTGGTCTGGCGTTCTTTTGAGTTTCCAGCTCCCCTTCCCCATGGTTGAGTGTGGAGCGCTTTCAACCCAGATCTTGGGTGGTACTCAGCCGGCAGGAACGCTTTGGTCTCCCAGCTGCTTGTCTTTTAGGTGTACAGAGTACTTGTCTTTACCGAATGTAGAGCCAATTGCGGTGATAGAAAGGGGTGGGGGCGGGTTGGGACCTGTGCGTAAATCCGAGAGACCCAATTTCTAATTTTAGAATTTGGCTGTGAGGAAAGTTAGTATATGTTTCCTTATCTGTAAAAAGGAGATACTTAGGTCTTTCGTGGTGTTGCTATTTAATTGTTGTTAAGTGGCTAACCCAAGTCTTGATGCTTAATTTATTTCTATCTTGGAGACATTACCTATGCATTTGCTCTGAAAGCCTAGACAAACAGGCCCAGGGATGCAGTTGTCACTTGAAAACTGTTTTGTCTTGGGACTGTGCACCCCAAATCGTCATCAACTTACTTGAATTCTTACTTTACAGAAGATCCTTCTACTCCCACCCTAGGTTGGGATTTGAAGAACAAGGAATCCCTAGGGTGTAGTGAAATATTTTTCATGTAGAAAGGACCGTAGAATTTACATAAAACACTTTAGTGATGGTTAAACGAAAAAGAGTGCCCATTTTACCCATCTAATTTCCTTTTTTTCCTGTTCAAAAGAACTTTCTTAGAGAAAGACTTCCTTGAAGGCTTTTGCATTATTTTGACGCATTGACAGTTGAAATGACAGTCTTAAGTGTTTTTGTTTAACTCAGGGTTTAAGCTTTTCCACTAGATCCATTGCATGTATTAACTGAACCTTCTCTTCTAAGAAAGCAGAGAAAATAGAAAACAAAATTTCCTCAAAAAGTTGTGCTTAAATTTTTTTTTTTTTAATCTCTCGAGGCACACAGAGTAATTGGACTGGTGAAGATATGTAATCAGACTTAAAGTTTTATTTTTAGAGAAGAAGTATACCAAGAAAGTTAGGGCGTCTCCTGTCAGTGGTTAGTCATCCTCTTGCTGAGACATTGCTACAGTTTGGCCATATTTATTAGGCTACTGTTATCAACAACCCCAGGCATTAACAACTGCAAACAAATTAAAGCTGAAATTTACCAAGGTTATCATAGTAAGTTCCAAATGTGACTCAAGACATGGAGTACTTTAGTCAACGGAGTTGAAATGAAGAAACTATTAACTGAATACTTCCACTGGCCAGAGCACTTTGTGATGTAAACAAAGTATGGTGGGAGCTTCACCTTGAAGGTATACAGAGACAAATTGGTTGTGGGTTTTCAATCTGCACGTATAGCAGATGAGCTTGAATCCAGCAAGTCAATTAAGTGTCTAAATGTTGCTTCTGACAGCATTATTAAAAGAGATGAAGCAAAAGTAGGCAGACCTGTGAGCAGAAATAAATGAACCCATTTTCAGAGTTGGAAGCCTTAATACCACTCTGCCAAAACTAGATTGATGTGACAGGCAGAAAAACAGTAGGGACATAGCAAAACTCCACAACACCAGTAGAACTGGCAAGTGTAGAATCCTCCAACAACAGTAGAATATACTTTCTTCTCAGGCTCATACAGGCCATTCACTGAAGCAAATCACATTTAGGGCTGTCAAATGGCCTGTAGTGAAGTGTTCCTAGAATATGTTGAGGGTGGGTGAACTTCAGCAGGCCCCTGCCCTGAGGTACTTGTGTAGGGTCAGTTCTGTTAACTCTGCTGGTGACGATAACAAGACAAAGAAGAGGAATTAGAGTATGTTTCTTGTGCTTCATGATGCATCTCAGTTTTCATACTCTCAGATGTGTCATTTATGGGTTATATTATCTAATATTAGCAAAAATAACCTCACTTAGAAAAACAACTTCCAAAATGTCCTGCACATCAGAAATGCTCTCAGAATATGATTATAGAAAGACTAATTCTAGCACACAAGGTAGTTTCACTGACTACCCTTGCCAAATGATACACACATATATAAATTGTATGTGAAAAACACTCAAAGGAAGGGGTGATATTAGATAAAAACCTCCGCCAACAACAAAAATCTAGAATGTATCAAGACTACTAGTTGAAATACAGCTTTAGATACACTACTATTAACAAAATCTGCAATAAATCTTGTCACTCAGTGTTAGCTAATGATACTAAATCATTATATCTAGCAAAATATTTAAAATGTTTATTCCAAGCCAGGTGATGGTGATATACACCTTTAATCCCAGCACCCTTGAAGGCTGAGGTAGGTGGAACTCTGTGAGTTTGAGACCAGCCTAGTTTACAGCATGAGTTCCAAGACAGCCAAGGCTACACAGAAAGCCTCTCAAAAAACAAAACAAAACAATAACAGATTAATAATAAAAAAAATGTTTATTCCATTTGTATGACATTCCTTTAATATGCGTACCATATTTATAAATTTTTTGTTGTATTCTTTTTATTTTAACTGATAAAATTGCTTAGGCAAAATCTTTACAGAATCTCTCCACTGAAGAGTAAAGTATGTAGAATGGGAGCGGAGTAGCTCAGGTTGACAGCTTATACTCTTAAAGTCATGGAAGTGTGTATGAGGTGGAAAGGATAGGAGCTCCACAAGGACCAAATATATCTGGGCACAGGGGTCTTTTCTGAGACTGACACTCAACCAAGGACCATGTATGGATATATGTCCTCTGTGGATATAGAACCTCTGTGCGGATGAAGCCCATGGTAGCTCAGTAACCAACTGGTTTCCCATAGTAAGGGGAACAGGGACTATTTCTGACAGGAACTCAATGGCAGGCTCTTTGACCTCCCCACCCCCCAAGGGAGGAGCAGTCCTGCTAGGCCACAGAGAAGGACTTTGTAGCCAGTTCTGAAGATACCTGATAAAACAGGATCAGATGAAAGGGGAGGAGGTCTTCCCCAATCAGTGGACTTGGAAAGGGGCAGGGAGGAGATGAGGGAGGGAGGGTTTGGGAGGGAATGAGGGAGCAGATACAGCTGGGATACAGAGTTAATAAAATGTAACTAATAATAAAAAAATAAAATAAATAATAAATAATAAAATACAAAAAAAAAGTCATGGAAGTGATCATGAGTTCACAGTTCTGTTGACTCAAGATGAATCAATCAGTGCCTCAAATGGAACATTTGAATGTAGGTTATGACATCCAGGACAAAAACAAAATGAAACGTGATAAGCTAAGAATATACATCCATAGGAACGGTTAAAAGTAAGGCACACTATACCAACTGTTAACAATAAGTGAAGTAATTCAAATTGTCATGTGCTGTTCACTGGCAGATAAAACATTACTCATGGAAAGCAGCTCAGTGGTGTCTCAAAAAAAAAAAAATTCCTATCATGTGACTGGGTGTTTTACTCCCAGTTTTTTAGTTAAGAGAAATAAAAATCTGTGCCTAGGTGGGAAGGGATTGGGGAAGAGAGGAAGTAGGGAAAACTGTGGTCGGAATCTTAAATTAATTAATTAATTGAAAATCTGTGCCCAGCAGAGACATCTGTATTCGTTTTTACAGCTCGGTGGTTTGTTTTGTTTTCTTTAGATTTTGTTTATGTTTATTTTATCTCTATTTAGTGTGTGTAGTGTTTGCCTGTATGTATGTCTGTGCAACATATGCATATAACACCTCCAGAGACCAGAAGAAGGCATGAAATCTGAGACTGGAGTCACAGAAAATTGTGAGCTGCCATGTGGGTACTGGAAATTGAACCTGAGTCTCCTGGAAGACCAGAAAGTACTCTTAATTGCTGAATTATCTCTACAGCTCCTTCCTAGCTGCATTATTGGTAATGGCCAATAAATGGAAATAATAAAATTTCCCTTCAATTAAATTATGGCATATTTATCTAACTGAATATTTCTCAGCAATGAAATACATGCAACCTAGGTGACTCTCAAAGTAACTATACTTTGTAAAGCTACACCAAAGAGATAACAAAGACTGACATTTGTATGATAATTGTATGACATTCTAAACAGTTAAGTCTATCTGTGTTTAGAGAAAGCAGGTTACTGGGTGAGTGTAGCTGCCTACCTGTAATTCCAGCCTCTGCAAATATAGAGGGATCCTTAGAGCAAGTTGGCTAGCAGGATAACCATATCAGCAAGTTCTGGCTTTCACTGAAAGGCCCTGCTTTAATGAAAAAGTTAGAAAAGTGATAAAGGATCATTTCCAATATCACCTTAAACATGCATATGCACCTGTAACCACACACATGCAGAACCATGCATAGACTCATGCACACCAAGCACAGACACAAACAAAAATTAAATCAATCAAACAAACCAGTTGATACATTGGATTATTAAATATGCTATTCTACTTAGTTTTATTTCACAAAACAACATGAAACTATCCATTATGAAAATTATGCATATTTTATTATGATAAAGGTTAATCTTATGAAATATAAAATTTAAATTTGGATGTTCTAATGATACAAGATATAAAATAAAAGGTGGGCATAATGAACAGAAATATACAAATATACTTAAAATAGAATATTTGAATGTGTCTTTTTTAGCATCTAGTACAATAAGCAGACCCATCAAAATTAAGAAGTATATAAAAGAATTTTATACTAACATACATGTTGCATAAAGCTGACCATGTGCAAAATAAGATGCAGTTAATATGTAAAAGATGTAAGATGTAATATGTAATAAGATGTAGTATTCAAAAATAGCTAGAAATATGCTGCCCAGAATTTTTTGTATGCTTTAATCTCCTCCTCATAATTTGAATTAATTGGGAGTATTAGAAGGAAAAGTCATAACAAAGATGTAATATTTCCAAAACTAAATTAAAAAGATTTTTTCCAATAGATAATTATTGATTACATATTATTTGACCCTAGCTAGCAATTAATCTTGCTAAGCCTAAGGGAAAATAACTGAGTATAGAAGTTAAATCAAAACATATATCAGAAAATATATTTACAAATTGAAATATAGTTTCAGTTTTTGAATTTTATTATTATTATTATTATTTTGCCTTGATCAAAGTGCTGGTCCTAAATGTCAGTGACAAGGATCATGGGTCATTAGAGGTTGCTGGAAAACAGAGTGATGAAGGACGATGAAAGTTCTTTCATTAAATGTCATGCTGTTGTATCTCCTCCAGGCCAGTGTATGGCCCCATCACCATTTCCATTTGCCATGCTTAAAAATCGAACTGATGAATCTGAGTTTCCCATTGGAACATCTTTGAAGTATGAATGTCGCCCAGGATATAACAGGAGGCAGTTCTTCATCACCTGCCAACAAAACTCAGTCTGGACAAGTGCTAAAGATATGTGTACACGTGAGTACCTATGGTGGAAGCTCCTTTGCGATAAAATAGTAGAGCTGGCCTCACTTTGTCTAGATTTTAGATTATGACATGTCATTAATAATCATATCTAAGGTATATAGTACATATGGATCATTCTTGTAGGTCATATCTTTTTATTCTGTTCATCTGTCTTCTCAACTGTTAATGAATTTTATAAGAGTGCCTGTCACAGAACATGATTAAGGGGAAATATCCTCAGGATATTTCACTTAGGGTGTCGGACTTTGTACAGGTGTCACTAAATAGTTAATGATTCTGAAGCAAAGAAAAGTATGCTTAATGACTAAGATGAAAAAAATCCCAGACTTTGAGGTCTGTGAATTGGAATACTTAGAAGAATGCTTTGGTTGTAAATGAAGTATACATGTTTTTAGGAGTCAATATGAGTCAATAAGAAAGAAGTTGGATGGGAATTTTTTTTGGAAAGTAATGTCTGATGAATTTCCTCAAAGTGCCAAATTCTGTGAAATATTAAAATTATATATACTCTCTATAGTAAGTTACAGTCAGATCAGAACTTCATAAACTAAGAAAAGTTTAGTACTTTACTTGGTTCCTTTCTTTCTCACAGGTAGACAATGTGAAACTCCTGCAGATCCTCTTAATGGCATGGTACATGTACACAAAGACACTCGATTTGGATCCAGTATTAGTTATACTTGTAATCTAGGGTGAGTTGGCAACAATATCTCTTCAAGAGTTCTAGAACAGCAGTACTACCTTCTAGTAATGTCTCAGTAAAGACATCAACTCTATTACTTCCTGATTTGGTTTTTGGTTGTGTTTTGTTTTGTGTTACAGGTTGAACTCAAGGCTTTAAATATGCTAGGCAAATGCTCTACAACAAATCCACACCATCAAAATGTTGCTTATCTTTAAAAGGCTTGAACATGATTGTTTAATTTTTGATTGAAATGAACAGAAATATAACATGATTAGGTAGAAAAGATGTGTTATTCCTGCTGAATAAGCAAAAGAACACGCATGTCAGCTTCCGACTGACTATTACTATGACAAAATAATTGAGATAATGAATTGAAAAGAGGAAAGGTGTATTTTAATTCATAGTTACAGAAGTCTCAGTTCTTAATAAGACCCAAATAAAAATGGTATATGGGGGGGTGTTCAAAAACTTTAAAACGTTTTCAAAGAATACTTTTGAAATAACACAAATAGAAAAAAATATTTGTAAAGCATAGAATTTTAAAAACATGTTTCCATAATATATGAGTTCTTATAACTCCAATGAGAAGACAAATAATTTTTGAAATAGGCAAAGGAGGTGCCGAAGAGATGGCTGAAGTGTTAAGGATATATATTTCCCTTGCAGAGCACCTGGGGTCAGTTCCTCGACCTGCATCTGTCGGTAACTATAGCTCTAGGGAACTGAAGCACTTAGGTCTTCACTGGTTCTGCACACACACACACACACACACGCATAATTAAAAACTGGAAATACATCTTTGAGCCTGGTATGGTGGTGCATGTACTTTAATCTCAGAACTCAGGAGACAGAGGCAACAATATCTCTGGATTCAAGGCCATTCTGGTCTACATACTGAGTTCCAAACCAGCTAGGTCATAAGAAGGCTCTGTCTCAAAACAAAACAAAAATGAGCAAGGGATTAAACATTTCTCCAAAGAAAATGCACAGATGGACTATAAGAAAAAGGTAGTTACTGCATATGGTCATTAAAATGCAAATTATAACTGTTTTGAGATATTGACTCGCTGAAGAAAATGTTTCTAAAAAGGAGACGATAGGAAATGTCAACAAGGTTGTAAAGAAATGAAAGATGCCATACATTTCTGAAATAGGCAGCAGACTAATATGTCTGAAGACTCCAACAATAAACTAACCCATAGATCCAATTAGAGTACAGTGACTTGTGAAATGCTTGTAAAGACTGGACTGCCTGCCTCCGTTTAAGGTTCAACAAACCATAAGCAAAAAGACCACAGCTCACCAGAAAACATGGCACCACATAATGAACTTGCTAAAGCAGCAGTAACTGACTGCATTCCAGCTCTCTACAATCTAATTAGTCAGACATGTAGAATCTTTAATATAGGTGTGATTATTTTTTTCAGGGAACTTCAGTTTATATTTCAATAATTTTCTATGGATTACAACATGTATATTGAAAATAATAAGTGGAAGAAGGAATATTAAAATATAAAACTTAAAAAGTATTACTGGTTGAGAATTTCACCCATGTATATCTAGGTGATCAAATATACTTCCCTCTTCTTACCCCTCTCATTCTTTCCCTACTTCCCACTACCACTCTTCCCTCTCACCTTCATAGGCTCTGATTTTAAAGCCACTGAATCCACTTAGTGCTATCTATTTGTGCATGGATTTAAGACCATCTACTAAAACATGGGCAATTTCTTAGGGACTCTATTCCTCAAGAAAAATTATTCTCCTTCCACCAACAGCCATCAATTACGAACAGCTCCTCAGCTAGATGTGAGACTTCATTAGCCCTTCCCCATCCATGCTGGGATTTTGTCAGGCTTGATCTTATGCAGGTGTTATACACACAGTCACAGCTGCTGTGAGTTTATATGTGCAGTGGCCCTGTCATGACCGGACAACACTGTTCTTTAACAGTCAATCACTGTCACTGGCTCTTAGAATCCTTCTGCTCTTTTCTCTATGCTAATGCCTGATCCTCGAGTGTAGACGTGTAGAATTCATGATATAGATGTCCTATTTAGGGCTGACCATCCTATACTTTCTTGTTCTCTGGACACTGACTAAGATAAGAACTTAGGGTGCAGTTTATTACTATGTTTATTTAGCAGAATAATATTATCAGATTCTTCTCTAGGGCCTATGACCTAACCAACCTGTTTTTGGCCCAGGTAACAGTAGCAGATATATATTACATTCTTGTGTATCTAAACAGGCCTTAAATCTAAACAGAAAATGGTATTATTTTTAAATTTTTTGTCAATATAGTACCAGGGGCCAGGTGTGGTGACACATGCCTATAATCCCAGAGGCAGAGGCAGGTGGATCACTGTGAGTTCCAGACCAGCCTGGTCTACAAAGCGAGTCCAAGACAGCTGAGGAGAGAAACCCGGTCTGAAAAAACAAAACAAAAAATGTGCACCAGAGGGCATATCTTGCCATGCCAGTGATTACTGTGGTTTAGACTGTACCTAGATCATTCAAGTACTTCGAAAGCTAGCCAATACAGTTAAAGCTTCCAGGTCACTACCACTTTGATTTCTTCATGTTCTATGACTCAAATATGTTATATCTTTAGCAATAGGGTCTTAGCATCAAGTTCTGAAAGGTAACCAAGAGCAATGGTAATACCACTAATCAGCAACTCAAAAAAAAAAAAAAAAAAGAGCCTATACCTGACACCATGCTTTTTTTATTTAATATCCTATGATATCTGTAAGAGACATTGTCCTCCAGTTACGGCATAATGTCATTTAAGCTTCTTTTATATATGTATATATTAAAACTTCTACAGTAGTAGGGTTCTGTATGAATTTTTCAAAGGTCTTTAGTGTTATTATGTTGGTTAGTTTTTATCAACTTGGCACAAGTTAGAGACACCTGGGAGGAAGGAACCTCATTGAGGAATTGTCTCCATTAGATTGACCTGTGTGTATTTCTGTGGGGCATTGCTTGATTAATGATTGATGTGGAGGTTCCAGCTCACCATGAGTGGTGCCATCCCTGGGCAGGTAGTCCTGAGTTATATAGAAAAGCTGCCTGAGTATGAACAGGAGAGCGAGCCAGTAAGCAGCATTCCTCTGTGGTCTCTGCTTTAGTTCCTGCTGCTAGGTCCTGGTTGGGTTACTGCCCTGACTTCCCCGGATGCTGGGCTGTATCATGGAAGTGTAAGCCAAATAAACCCTTTCTTAACCCTTATTTACTTTTGATCATTGTTCTGTCATAGTAATGGAGACACAAACTAGGACAGTTATCCTCCCTACATTCCTTTCTCAATTCTACCCTCCACTTTCCTACCCTACTTAACCCTTCTTGTTTTATTATTCTCCTTTCTTCCATCATACCACCTTAGTTAAGATGTTATCAGTAGCACAATTATTATTACTATAAGATATTTTATGTAAGCTTGAAAGCAATCACAAAGGCAACCTGTTGTAAATATACAAAGATAAAGTTATTAAACCTAACTACTACCAAAGGATCGTCAAATTACAGAGGAAGAAAACAAGTGAGAAAGAATGGAAACAAACTAGAAAACAAAATAATAAGTGCCATTCCTTACCTATCTATAATTTGCTTTGAAAGAAAATTAGTTGTATGCTGTAATAAAAAACAAATCTAGAGTTTCTGAATAGATAAAACAATATGCACTTGACTACAAAAAAGTTAAGCTATAGCTTTAAAGACACATAATATGAAAGCAAATGAAGGGAAAATATACTTCATGAAAATGGCAAATGGAATAAGGCAGGGTGGTCATTATTAGACAAACTAAATGAAAAACTATCACAATAGACAATATCATAGATGTATAACTTTTCCTGGGATAAAGTAAAGAAACAGCTATTCATACAGGTAAGGAGGATAATGGCAGATCAAAGAAAAGATTCTATCCAAGTCCAGCTTGATGAATCAATGAATTTTCCAAAATTACTTGCAGGAGAATGGTTGTCTCAAAGGCAACTTTATCACCAAAAAGTTCTACTCACAGCACAGATAACTCATGAAAAACTACATTATTGAAGTATAACTCCCAGTTAGTCTTCTGCCTCAAATAAATCCTAGTAGCCTTCTTGTGACCCTTTCTTTTCTTTCCATAAATGCATGCTGACAACCTTCTCACCATTAACACAGGCAGAGCTCTGAGTTGTATTTTCTGCAGGCCAAGGTATCTTACAGGTTACAACCTTAATTCTACTTCATGTTGGTAATGGCTTCACCACTGAATTCTAACCCATGTCATGAGGCCAGTTTTAAGTTAATACCAAAACCAGACATGACGACAGAAGAAATTTACAGGCCAATATCCTTAATAAACATGGTATAAATATTCTCTACAAATTACTAGCAGACAGAATTCTCAAGTGCATACGTGGGGGTTAGTAAGATGAATCTCCAACATCCATGTAGAAAGTCAGCCAAGGCTTCATGTACCTGTAATCATAGCACTGGGGGAGTGGGAGACAAACAGATCCTAAGAGCTTATTGGCCAAAACAGTGAGTTTTCAGTTCAATGAGAGGTAGTTTTACAACTCCTCATGCACATACCTGCCACACTTTCACACAGACCCCATATAAGTTTATATAACACACCCACTGTAATATATCATGATTAAATGGGATTTATTCCTGAATTGCAAGCTTGACTTGACATATGCAAATAAAATATGAAAAATTGTACAAACAGAATGAGGTATAAAAACATAGCCATTTTACTGGAAGGAAAAAAAGACATTTGAAAAAATTCAGATTTTTCATGGTTGGAAAAGATCTCTAAAAACTTAGGCATAAAAGGGTTATAGCTTCATGAAATACATGAATATGGTAGCCCACAAGTAACATTGTATGCAGTGGTGAAAGGCAGAGAGTCTTTCCTCTGAGATAGGAGCACAAAGGAATTTTTACCATTCTCAAAGGAATGTACAACTACCTACTTCTCTTATAAATCTCCATGATTTTGGACAGTTCATGTAAGTGAGATTCTGCATGAGATATTTTGTGTCAGGCTGGTTTTGCTGAGTACATATTTTCAGTTTGTTCATTTACAGCATTCATAAATCTTCATTTTTCCTAACAATAATATCCTATTAAGTTTTCATTTTTATTATCATAAGTCTTACTATAAAATTTATAATTAATGTGTTTTTCTCATTTTTAGAATTATGTTTTCATCTCTTGTCCTTTTATTCTGCCTTTTCATACATGTTTCAGAAGTGAAACTTTTTTGTTGATCGCTTGTATATTGTATATTACATTTATTTCTGCTATTTCCTTTTTCTGCTATGTTCTTTTAGGGGTCTGGTGCATTATTTTCCTAATTTATTTTACCTAATAATTAAATTTTTTCTCAAATTTTCATCTACCTTATTTTCATTGTTCTTCTATTCTAATATTTAAGAGAGTTTCAGACAGTTGGGGCTGGTTACTAAACCTGGGTCTGAGCCATTCTTCTAGCCCTAACTCTTAGATTTTTAAATGTATAAACATTTAAAGCTTTTTGTTATTAGCTTTTAAGCTAATTGCTTTTTGATCATGGGATGCATTCTCTTTAATAATGAGTACCAGAAATTCATTGTAGTTTCCTTTTTTGCTATTTAGCCAGTTTTCATAAATGAACCATGTGGCCTTGAAATTAAGGTGCATGAATCAGTTTATTTGGATCAAATCATGTACATACTTTATAGTACACTTAATCTCTCAACTGTTCTAGAAGTGGTTCCTTTCTTGAGTTTCTATTTATTTGTTTCACTTTATTGAAGCTATATAATTAGGCGCATGTACATCTAATACTTAGATATTATTAATGAGTATTAACACTTTTATCATTATTTTAATTCCTGTTTATCTCCAGTAATTATTTTTTATTAAAATCCATTTTACATGTTGACTAAAATCTGTTATATACTTTAAAAAGTACATTTTTACTTTATTATTTTAATGCTATACATTTATCTATTTGTACCTATTACCTTGATATATCATTATGTCTTATGTGAATCTCTTCTGAACAGCTTACAATTGGAGTTTTAAAACTATATTTTGACAATCCTAACATATAATTAAAGGATTTGCCCAACATATAATTAAAGGATCTGGAAATTAACTGTTACTTCTTATTTTGTGTTTTGTAACATACTATTCTGCGTAACTTCAGTTTCAGGGAATTCAACCCTTTTCTGGTCTCCATAGACATGAAGCATGCAGTCAGTGAACGTACATGAAGGCAAACACACATTAAAAAAGCACACATTAAAAAAAATTAATATGTAAATAAAAACAAAAATCCCTAAAGCTTAAAAATGTAATACAAAGCCCAAAAATATACCTACATTTAATTTAAAAAGAGATTTCAAAGCAGTAAGCATTGTTTAATCAAAATAATTAGATTAGATCCTTAATTTACCTTATGCACTAAAAGAAATTTTATTTGGTCCATGAACTATGTAAAAAATGGAACCACACTAAGACTGAATGAAAAAAAATCTGATTTGAGACCACTCAATTAATTCGTCATTTCAAACAAAGTCACAATTAAGTTAATAGACTTCGTCAATAAACAGGACACACACACACACAATAAGTAAATATAATAAAGTTTTAATTGAAAAGAGAACAGAGAAAGCTAGTTGAGCACCAGCGTTCCCTGCTGTCTACTGCTTGGGTCCACTGAGATGTAAAGAGTCTCAGCTACACGAATTCCCACTGTCACAAACTACCATGTTCTTTCTACCAAGAGAGTCGTTACCTTCTCAAACTTGCACCAAAATAAGCCACTTCTCCTGGGGTTGCTTTTTGTCAGATATTTGGTCACTGTTATAGGAAAATAACAGCACATACAACACAGAAATGCAAAAAGAAATGAAAATTTATATTTATACCAAATAACTTATAGGAAAATAACAAGCACATACAACAAGGAATGCAAAAAGAAGTGAAAATTTATAGTTATACCAAATAACTTATAGGAAAATAACAGCACACATACAACACAGAAATGCAAAAAGAAGTGAAAATTTATAGTTATACCAAATAACTTCAAAATAATCATAGCTACTTTATTCACAGTAGCCAATAACATCAAAGGACTAAAATGTCCATCAATAGATAAATAGTTGAGTGGTGGTACATCCATGCTATGGGCTCTAATTTATAACAAAAATAATTGTTTGGTAAATCTTCAGGAATTATGCTGAGTAGAAAACTAATCATATATGGGTATATTCTATATGACTCTTTGTATAACTTTTAAAAGAGTATATAATTATAGATATGATCACCAAACATAAGAATGTGGGAGGAAAATCAGGAGTAGAAAGAAGCAAAGTGAGTGTCACAGTAAAAGGACAGGTACAAGAGATCTTGGTCTATTCTACATCTTGATGTGGTGGTAAATATGCAAGCCTACACATATAAAATTGTGTAAAAATGTTCTTCTGCCAGGCAGTGATAGCGCTTGCCTGTAATTCTAGCACTTGGGAAGTAGAGACAGGTGAATCTCTGAGTTTGAGACCAGCCTGGAATATAGAACATGTTCCAGGATAGCCAGGACTATACAGAGAAACCCTGGCTCAACCCCTCCCACCCCGCCCCCCAAAAATCCCAGTGTCTCTTTCTCATAGGAAAAAGAGCAAGTGGAATTTAAATTTAAAATATAGCTCTTATAGTTGTACTTCCAAAATGATATGTTTACATATAAAATCTAACAAAATAGGTATAAGTCCAGTTGTTGAAATGTTTCATGAATTGTTTTAATTTTATGGCATACTAGACAATTTGCAACATATTACTCAATTGAGTATTGTTGACTTTACTATCGAGAATTGCTGATTTAAATGTGAGATCTTTGTTTAATTTTTTAATCAGTTTGAGTTCTTTTAGCTCTTGGTTAATGAAACTTGCTGATAAAGCATTTCCTTATCTAGGCATTCACATTATTGCTTACAAAGTATAAATGAATTCATATAGTATGATATACACAAATGCATATGACATTTTCTTTACCCTCAAGAAGTTTGTAATGATTTTAAAAATAAGACTTATAGGAAACAACTATAATTTACCACAGATTGTATGATAAGATAATAAAGAGAAATCTCATTTAGTTAGGAAGACATGAAGAAGAAAATCAAAAAGTCCAAAGAAGGGTGTAAGATTTGAGAAGTCATGGTCTTTGACAAGGAAAAACATATCTGGAAATTTCTAACATAGTAATCTCTAGGAAGCAGCAGTTTAAGCAGGCAATTAATTGTTTGTTTGTCATTGTTTGTCATTCTTTATTCTGTGCACAGATACCGTCTCATTGGTTCTTCCTCTGCTGTATGCATCGTCTCAGATAACACTGTCACTTGGGATAATGAGGCGCCTGTTTGTGATTGTAAGTTGAATTTTGTTGTTGTTGTTGCTTTTACTCATGTATTTTAAATTTTCTCTTGAATTATATATATTTTGAAAAACTGAGATTGAACCCATGGCCTCATACTTGCTAGGAAGTTCTCTAATACAGACATAAACCTATAGCCCTATAAGGGATTTTAAATTTTTTTCTTAAAATTCCCAATCAGTGGACTTGGAAAGGGGCAGGGAGGAGAAAAGGGAGGGCGGATGGGATTGGGAGGGAATGAGGGAGTGGGATACAGCTGGGATACAGAGTTAATAAAATGTAACTAATAATAAAAAATAAATAAAAATAAAAATCTGAAATAGAAAACTAAATAAATAAATAAAATTAAAAAAATTTCCTTTTGTATAATCTGTTCTTCAAGTAAATGAAGATGTTCTGGCTGGTTTTATCCCAATTTGACTCAAGGTAGAGTCATTTGAGAATAAGGATTCTCAATTGAGAAAATGTCCCCACAAGATCTGGCTATAGGTAAGCCTATATGGCGTTTTCTTAATTACTGATCTATGTGACAGGGCCCAACCCATTGTGGGTGGTGCTAGTTCTGGGCTGGTGGCCCTGGGTTCTGTAAGAAAGCAGGCTGAGAGTACCAACCCCTGACACTATGAATGATACTCTGCTAAGCCTGCAGACAGGAGCCTATCTGAGTTGTCAAGCCTTTGAGGAACCCCACCCAGCAACACCTCAAAACAGACACTGATACTCATACCCAAACATTGGGCAATACATATGGAGTCTTGTGAAAAAGTGGGAGGATGATGGACCTGGAGATGACAGGACCTCCACAAGAAGACCAACAGACCCAACTAACCAGGACCCAGAAGGGCTTGCAGAGGCTGAAGCATCAACCAAGGACCATGCATGGACTAGACCTAGATACCCTCCCTCCAAAAATATGTAGCAGATAGGCAGCTTAGGCTTTATGTGGGTCCTCAAGTAAGGAGAGTGGGGACTGCATATGACTTGGACTTTCCTGCTAGCGTTTTGATCACTTCTGCCTTGTAGGTCTGTATTGCCGGGCCACAGGGGAAGAGGAAATGCTAGGGCAGACAGGAAGGGGGGCTCCCCTTTTCTGAGGAATATGGGAGGGAGGGTAGGAGTGGGAGGTGAGTTGAGATGAGCCTATAATCAGGATACAAAATGAATAAAAAATTTAATTTAATTTAAAAAACAACATACAAAGAGAGAAAGAGAGACAGAGATACAGAAAGAAAGAAAAGAAAGAAAGAAAAAAGAAAGGAAGGAAGAAGGAAGGAAGGAAGGAAGGAAGGAAGGAAGGAAGGAAGGAAGGAAGGAAGAAGGAAAGAAAAAGAAAGGAAGGAAGGAAAAGAAAGAAAGGAAGGAAGGAAGGGAGAAACAGCTAGTAAGCAGCACTGCTTCATGGCTTCTGTATCAGCTCCTACCTTCAGGTTCTTGCCTTGGTTTCTGTCAGTGGACTGTGTTTCAAGTTATGTAAGCCAAGTAAATTCTTCCCTCCTCAAGTTGCTTTTGGTTATGGTTTTCATCTCAGTAATAGTAACCATAAGATAGAAGACAACTGCAGTTGTTCTTGGCTACTTCCTTTAAGTTCTCCTTTGTCCTGGATGTCCTTTTTTAAATGTAGAGAAAATACAAATGTATGAGAGCCTTCAAATCTTATTTTTACTTCAGTTCACTATAAATTATATTGTTTCTATCTCTAGTATAATTATCATCCTAATTGGCAGATTAGTAAAATCTTGTTCAATATTCCAAGGTTAGTGAAGCTGTGGAAGAACCTATACTTTCATATATGGAAGATACAGCACAACTTCTTGAAAAACACCATAAGGCTAAAAGTGGGGATTTATTTTGATCCATACTTTATTTATTTATTTTTTTTTGTGTTGTATATATATATATATATTTTTAATTTTATTTTTCTTTTTAGTTACATTTTGTTAACTCTGTGTCCCAGCTGTATCCCGCTCCCTCATTCCCTCCCCAACCCCACACTCCCTCCCTGGTCTCCTCCCTGCCCCTTTCCAAGTCCACTGATAGGGGAGGACCTCCTCCCCTTTCATTTGACCCTGTTTTATCAGGTATCTTCAGGGCTGGCTGCAAAGTCCTCCTCTGTGGCCTAACAGACTGCTCCTCCCCTGTGTGTGTGTGTGTGTGGGGGGGTGTCAAACAGCCTGCCCTTGAGATCCTGTTAGAAATAGTCCGTGTTCCCCTTACTTTGGAAAACTACTTGGTTACTGAGCTACCACCGACCACATCCGAGCAGAAGTTCTATGTTATATCCATAGATGGTCATTGGTTGAGTGTCAGTCTCAGAAAAGACCCTGTGCCCGGATATATTTGGTCCTTGTAGAGCTCCTATCCTTTCCATATCATACTAACTTCCCTTCTTTCATATTTGATCCATATTTTAGAATTTATACTTTGTAGATAACACAGAATTTTTAAAGGAGTTGAATGTGAACTTTTTTAAATTAAATTTTTATTTTTTACATTAATTACATTTTATTCACTTTGCATCCCAGCTGTAGCCCCCTCCCTTATTCCCTCCAATCCCACCTTCCCTCCCTCATTTCCTCCCTCATCTCCTCCCTGCCCCTCTCCAAGTCCACTAATAGGGGAGCTCCATTTATATTGGCCTTATACAAATTTCTGGGCATTATTATTTTCTGCTGTCTGGGATGATTTGCTTAAAAATAATGCTATTTTTGCTAATATGTTTCAGTGGTTTCAGTAGTAGAGTCGTCTAGATCTGAGTGATGGAAAGTTATTATGGATATTAAACTTCTAATTGCTGATTTTATTAACTATAAAATAGCATATTTTACATATTGTCTTATTAAATAATTTGGGGTGAGCTGTGTTTTCAAGTTGTTTGCTCATTTCTGTTCAGTTTTTTTTAAAAGATTTATTTATTTATTATGTATACAGTAGTCTTTCTGCATGAACACCTACATGCCAGATCTCATTATAGATGGTTGTGAGCTATCATGTGGTTGCTGGGAATTGAACTCAGGAGCTCCGGAAGAGCGGCCAGTGCTCTTAACTTCTGAGCCATCTCTCCAGCCCTTCCGTTTAGTTTTTGTAGTTGTCAGCATTATATTGATCATTGTGTGTACTCATTATCTTTTTGCTGTCTGTAGGCTCTGGAGTGATAACAAGTTTAAATTTTTGATATTGATTATAACTTCTCTTTGTTTGGTCAGTTTTACTGGGCGTTTATCAAGTCTGTTAAGCTTTTCACAATTTTTAACTTTGTTGATTTTTACACAATGTATGCCTGACAATTTTTCCTTCTCATTCCTACCATATTATTTCCTTTTTTCTATTTTCTTTGACCTCAACTTTATGTACTACTTCATTCCTAAATTCATGACATAGATAATGAGATAATATGTTTTAAACTTTTATTTTTTGTAATACACATTTAAACCTATAAATTTGTTTCAAACTTTTTGTTCTTTCCAAACATTTATTTTTCCATTATTAGTGTGCACAAAAGTTTTCTGACAAATAGGTTAATTATAAGTGTGATACTTAACTTCTAAACATTGGGAGATTTTTCAGTTTATTATTTTTTCCTACTTTGAAACACACGGATTCCTATTTTATGACTCAGAATAGGGACAGTTTTGATAAAGTATTATAATGTTATTAAAAATAATGTATAGTGGTTGTGTGTAATTTTCTATAAATGTGATTTAGAATAATTTTTTGTTTTCTTCTAGCAGCTCTAGTTGGCCATACCTTCACTTTTTGTGATTTATGTTACCCACTAGTCCAGAAATCATAGATGTAAAATTCCAGAAATAAATAACTCATAAGTCTTAAGTTATACATCTCTGAAAAGTGTGATAAACTCTTATGCTGCCCTTTTCTATTCTGTGTTATTCCACCTAGGGTAAAACACATCTTGGAACTTAATTTATAGTTTTCTTATACCAGAAGTAGAAATTAATCACCCTTGAAGGGAATTCTTGTTCTGCTTTCCTCCAGCTTTTTCACTGTAGTTGTTCTAGATATCTGACTCATACAACCACCCCCTGGTGACCACTTTTCTATTGGAGAGCTAAATAAAAGACACTGAATGGCTCTACTGACCCCTACATCTCACATGCATGGCCTCTTAGAATTTATGCCTGCATTCATTGAGCCCACTAATTAATGGAAACATGCCTGACTATCACTGGGATTCCAACAGAGATTTGTCCCATATGTCAATCTCTGACCTTCTTCTCAAGCTGACTGACTTCTGTGTGACTTCATGTGTTCCGTGTACCCTCAGACCAAACAGATAATAAAATCATTTCTATCTTTTTTCTGATATAATCATTGAATACTGTAAAGTATACCCATACATAACTCTTTTAGATGAGATCCCTCTTTACTGTGTTTCTAGCAGCTCTATATGAAACTACTGTCCTTCAGCCTGAAAAATTCTTTTTTGCATTCTTTTGTGTTTTGTAGATCAGGAACTTCATTGTTGAAATATTTTCTCCTTGTAGTTCTTTTAGTTATTGTCTCTGTTTCATGGCTGCTACTTAAGGCTGGTAGAATTTGATATATATCTTTGTGATGTGTCTAGATGAAGAATTATTTGAATTTTGTTGCTTGAGTTTATATGGCTTCTTGAATATACAATTCTGTGGTATCCTTCATCAGACTTAGAAAGTTCTCAGTTAATCTTCAGTTTATCTTTCCATTTTCTTTGTATAATGCCGCCAGAGTATATGTCATTCTTCTATACCATGAGTACAGGTACCACTAAAGTTTGTATGTGTGTTGTGTGTGTGTGTGTGTGTGTGTGTGTGTGTATAAAACCCACAAGCAGATTACTGGAGATCACCTTATTCAAGTCGGAGTTTAGGAATAATGGGGTAGAAATTATGCTCCTGTCAACGCAGTACACAGTATTCTCACTTCCAAGGAAAAAAAGAGAGTTTATTCTGGAGCCAAACATGAATGCCCATGACTGGAGGATACAGATTTAGGTTGTC